GTCTTTGAAAATGAAATAAAATTCTTCCACAATAAAAAAAAAAAAGTTAAAAGAATGTGCCTCTTCCAAACCTGTTCTACAAATACTTAATGATGTGCTCTTGGCAGAGAAAAGGAATAGTGCCCACCAAAACCAAAGGCAAATGTGAAGAACATCCCAGTAAAATAACAACAGAAGACTAAATCAATGAACAACCCATTGCTAAAATGACAGAACCAAATTACCACCTATTTGTATTAACCCTGAATGTTAGAGGCTTAAACTCATCAATCAAATGCCAGATTAGTAGACTGGATTAAAAAACAAAACCCATCTATTTGTTGCCAACAGGAGACACATTTCACCAACAAAGATGAGCGGAAACTGTATCTCATGGATTTTTATTTTTCTTTTTTAGTTGCATATCTTCAAAACCCTTTCTCATTAAATTCTTCATAGGTCATATGACTCATAGATCATACAGTAGCATCATTTTTACCCAAGAATATTCTTGATTTTCTTTTTCATTTCTTCAGCAGCACATTAGTAATTTAGTAACATGTTATTTAAATTCATGGTGTTTTTTTTTTAATTCATGGTGTTTTTAATTTCTTTTTTTCTTTCTGTTACTGATTTTGTATTGTGGCTTTTCATTTAAGGGGATGCATAGTAACTGTAATGGAGACTACCATATTCAGATGTGAGGATACAATGCAGTATGCATTTCTATTTCCAGACAAACATGGACTCCCAATGAAACTGTTTACTATATCTTGAGAATAGGATGCTGGACTCTGCCATTGTCCCTGCCTGCAATGATGGACATATGGGAAGCAGTATTATGGTAATTACATAGGGCAACTCAGTGAGGGAGGAGGAAATTGGGGAGGGTATAAGGGAAATCCTAGGGTCTATGGAACTGTATCATAAAATGATAATAATAAATACAAGTTAAAAAGTAAAAATAAAAATAATATGTGAAAAAAACGTTGTTTGTCAGCAAGGGTGTAAGTACTTCCAAAGTGCAGATAATAGAGGTGCGTCTGACTAGTATTTGGTTTTTTGAAATTTCTATTTTTATACAGAATTATTTATTCTCATTGGAAAGGCAGAGATACAGACAATTCTTCCATCTGCTGATTCACTCCCCAAATGGCCGTAATGGCTACAGTTGGGCCAGGTTGAAGCCAGGAGCTTCCTTGTCTCCAGTGTTGGTTCAGTGGCCCAAGGACTTGGAGCAGCCTCTGCTGCTTTTCCCAGGCTGTAAGCATGGAGCTGGATTGGAAATGGAGCTGCTGGGACTTGAACTGGCCACAGGTGGAGGCCTAACCCACTATGCCATTGTTCTCGCTGTGATGATATTCATTTTTAGGCATATTCTCAGGACCAAGACCTGTAAGTATCTATAGGATAGAGGGGCAGGGATGAGTGCAGAGACATACCTAATTTCAGTGGAAGAATTATCAGCAAGTGATGGTTAAAAACAAAAGCGGGAATGCTAATGAAATCTGCCCTAATGTGATAGGCCACCGTAGACTCCCGAGGAGGAGGAGAGTGGAGTTCTTGGGAAGATGCAGTGTGCCAGGAAGGCTTCAGCAGAGACTGGAGACGAGAAGCTAAGTGATCCTGGCAACAGTTGTTGAGGGTTTATGGGAATGGAGAGACGGAAACAACGGAGAAAGTTAAAAAAAAAAAAAAAGAACCTTTGATAAGGTATTGGATCTGGGAAGCAAAAGAGCAGAAATTGGGGAACGTTTGAGGTTTCATGGAGAGAAATGTGTGAGTCATGGAGGGGAGCAGTTTAAATGAGGAGCAATTTCAGAAAGCATTTGGATGTAAGAGGCAGGAGTCCTGGGGAGTGGAAAGTGCTCAAGCTCCTGGTATGTTATGCCGAGAAGCATGAGGACAGAAGGTGGGCGTGGAGGAAGACAAGCAGGGCCTGAGACTAACTGCCGTGTGGGGGAACCGAAGGAGAACACGCTAGAGGGAAAGCGTTGTCTGTCGTCTTAGATGTGGAAGTGAAGTGTGAGGACGAAGCAAATACCTTTGAAGTTGGCCAAGAGATGGAGACAGATGTGTGCTGCTTCCCGTGCTCTCGCGTGCGAAGGACAGAAATAGTAGGGAAGGAACAGGGAAGTTAGCACGTGTGCCCTGGATGTGTGGAAACTAATCAGATCACAGGTTCAAATTTAGTGGATGTTTTTTTCACATGGTGTCAATACTTTAAATTTTAGTATTTTATCTTATTTTTAGTGTTTACATAGTTGAGAAGTATGTCTGCCCATGTGGGCCACTGATTAGGGTGGGCAGGGTCAAGGTATGGAGGAAGGAAGGTAGGACAAATGTTTCCAGGTTTTTTTTTTTCTTGCTTCTGCAGTGGTGAGAGGAGGAGGCTGCTCCTTGCTGCCAAACTACTTCAGTACTTAGGGTTGAGGGAGGGTCTCTTGATGTCAACTTAGAGACCCCAATGTGGGGAGGAGTGTTCTGAGGGTATCACATGGGTGGATTTGGTAATTCTGAGACATGGTTATCTTTGTTGCACCAGGATTGAGAAAATCTGTTCGAGGTCTGTTGGTTTACAACATCCACCTTAGTGGATCCCCACATTCAGACACTTGCTGTGAAGCTTGGCCAGGAGAGTCTCCCTCCTGTTCTGCCTTCCACCCTCTGAAGAGGCGTCCGGCATATTCTGCAGGCCTAGTTGAGCTGGCCGTCATGTTCCCCCTGTGCGGCTGGGCATGCTGTCCACTGCACGGGCCTCAGCAGCTGGCGGCCCAGTCTTGAGACATGCACGCCAAGACTGGACTCCACTGCCTGTGATTTTCCCCTTGGGCAGAGTTTGAATCCAGCAGTCTAGCTCCATGCCTGGGGTGTGCACCAGCTAGTTTGGGGTCTAGTGTGCACCAGCTAGTTTGGGGTCTGCTTCAGTCTGTCACCCTCATCAGCTGAGCACATACACGTGACTTAATAAATGCAGAAGAGATCTGGCCTTCTGAAAGAGCAGAAAGAATGAACTGATAACAAGGACAAGACAGGATATTAAAAAGATTTATTTTATTATTTGAACGTTACTGGAGGGAGAATAGGAAGAGATGGAGGAAGAATGGAGGGACAAAGTGTGTGAGATCTCTGATATCTGCTGGTTCACTTCGCACATAGCGACACCAGCCAGGGCTGGGCCAGGTTGTAGCCAGGAGCCAGGGTAGCCACATGGGTCCAGGGCCCAAGTACTTGGGCCATCTGCTGTTGCTTTCCTAGGTGCATTAGCGTGCCGAGGGGTTGCAAGTGGAACAGCCAGATCCCAAACCGTCACCCATTTGGGATGCCAGCACTTCAGGTGGCAGCATAGCGCCTGCCCTGTGCAAATGAGTTTAGCTGATTGTCTGGTCCACTGGTTGAAGTGCTGTAGTCTTACAAATAGGCTTACTCTGACTTTCCATGGAACATTTTCTTTTCTTGTGCCTGTAAAGATGACATTATCTGAAGGAATGTCATTCATGAGACAACATGTTAATATCTGATATATAATCTTTATTATAAATATTGAGCAAATTTTGCAAAAATTACAGGGAAAATTAAATAACTCAACACGGCAGGGATATTTACAGTCCATGTCAGGGTTAGGAAACCCTGAAAGAGGTCCCTGAGAGTGGAGATCTGCCAGCTAGTTCTCCTGAGCAGGCCTCTGCAGCATGGTGTGAGGTAACGGCCAATATCGAGCAGAGCCTTTCTCCTTCGAGCCCCAGACAGATCCCTGTGTGCGGCAGCACCTGATGGGAAGTATGCTTGCTTCTTTTTCCAGCCATAAAGTGCACTGAAACTCCAGGTAATAATCCCCGCTTGCGTGCTACAACTCCTCAAGCGGGCACCAGCACCAGGGCAGCTTTCTGGGTGTAAACAAGGTGCCCGTGTGAACAGCAGTGTGCCCTCCCACCATGACCAAGGTCAAGATTTCCTGAGAAAGTGAGTGGGGCAGACAGGAAACACACAGGCAGAAAGAGCAGTGGAAGAGTGGTTGATCGCGAGCCTGACAGCTGGGAAACAGAATTGGGTCCATTTCTAGGTGCGAAGGAGGAAAACCTCTTACTATTTTCCGTGTGCAGCACCTGACAGAAGCCTGGAGATTCTGCTGGCCAGGGGACCCACAGGGGTCTGGTGGCTTCTTTTGTCTAAGGCAGTGAGATTGGCTTACGTAACTCCCCCATTTCACAGAACTAAGCAGTTACAAAAATGAAAATGACAGAATGTCTCAGAGGAAAGAGAAAAAAACAGCACCCCAAATTGTTCATTCTTTAACCATAATTTAAATAAGCTCTGACCATAGCTCTCTGATTCTTTTCCTAGTTGATTGTGTGTTTTACAAATTGATCCCCCCTGAAGCTGTAATTGGTTACTCCCTTTCTGGGCACTTAAGGGCTGTGAAGGTATCAAGAGGCAAATGCAAGTCTGTGTTGTCCACTGTGGGTCTTGGCAGTGTTTCCCCACTTTGCTTCAGCTGTGTTCTCTGGAGGCAGACTTGCCCGAGGTTTAGGTGGTGTTCCCGCTCAGCAGCAAGGTGCTTGAGCTCGAGCCTTTGCAGAGATGACAGGAACCAGCACTATTTCATTTTCTCTCTCTCTCTCTCTTTGTTCCTGGCACACAAACTTCCAGGGAAAAGGACAGAATTTCAAGGTAGCAGCAGATCCAAGGTGGACTCTGGTAGGACAGGGCTAAGTGAGAAGGAAATGTGTGGCCTAAGAAGGTGAATTAAAGTGAGTCTAGACTGGGGAGGTTGGTGGGAGGTCCTGGTAACTCTGTCCCGAAGTCGGCTTTGCCAGTTCCAGTGGCGAGGAAGACTGGGTTTCCTGCTGACTCCGGATGTGCCTTCCCATCTGCTGATGCTGTAGGGAGGGGCTGTGACCAGGCAGCGTGCCCGCCCTGGTGGTGGTGGTGCTGGGTGGGGTGGGGGTTCTTCTGTGTTCTGAGGATAGAGAGAGCTCCTGACACCCAGTGCATCAGGAGGGTGAGCAGGAAAGGTTCCTTTACTTCTTTCTGACTTCTGAATAAACTGTGTCTGTGGCTCCAGGGGAGAGGGAGGCTGGCGTTGATTGCTTAGGTTGCAGGACATGGAAGTTGAGGGAGGAATATGCGACTTCGTGGATCTGCAAAGCATGAGCAGCCATCAGTTAGATCATTGCCAGGGGCCAGGCCTCCCTGCTCTGTGTGGTCCAGCACCACATGCTGTCACCTCTTTGATACGTTTAACTTTGGAGAAGGGCTGGAGTTCAGTGAAAAATGACAATACAAGGAGAATGAACCAACTATCAATACATATAACAATATGGATGAATTGCATAAAACAGTGTGGCATGAAATAAGCCAGACAAGTATAAGGATGTGCTAAGCCACTCCCAGCAGTCTAGAGCAGCATCCTGAGGGGAACGGCTACTCTTTGGGGGGGCTATGACTGGGTTCGTTCCTGCAATGTGTCTTGGTTTTTCACATTGGCATATTTTACATGGGTGTGTGTACTCAACTTGTGAGATTATACATTGTGAAAATGAACTTAATATGGCAGTAGTTTTCAGAACATACAAGTACTCTATTGAAAGGCAAAGTAAAAAAAAAAAGTAAGGAAAACTATAACATTATGCAATAAAGTACACAGAACACAGGTCCACCAGAATGGAAATTACTCCTACTTTAAAAAAATTGTTGACTGGTTTATTACAACCAGCATAGGTCAGAAACTGGAAAGATGCCCAGGGCAAGCTGGGGTGGCACTTCCATGTTCTCTGAGCTGGCCAGCCTGCTAGCACCTTGACTGGGGCTGATCCCTTTGAATGCTGAGAAGAGGGGTGCTTTACACCGTTATCCTGTTTAATCCCCCTGGCCTCTCCTGGAAGTAGCCAGAGTGTCAGAGTTACAGATGAGAATGCTGTGGCTCAGACAGGTCAAGGTCCTTCCCCAGAGTCATCAGGTTTCTACAAACCACAGCCAGGACTTCAGCTTGAGGTGTGAGAATTCCAAAGTGCACATTCTTGCTATGAGGCAGAGTCGCAGCAGTGATTAACCAACACCTTTCTGTTGCTGCATTGAGGAATTTGACCAAGCTTGGTCTCAAATTTGTGTCTTCAAGGGTTACACACTCTACTCAGGGGCATTTCCATGAGAACATGAGTCAGGAAAGTGGCTTTTTCTTACCTCTGCAGGTGAAGTGTCAGACTGGTCTTGACCTAAGGAAGCCAGAGAAGAGTTGTTACTGCATGGAAGTGCAAAGCTGACCTGAGACTTTATGATTTCGCAGGACAGGAGGTGGCAGGGAGTTGGGGGAGGTGGTGGTGGTGGTGAAGGTGGCCCGTGATCTGTCCCTGGGCAGACCCGCATACCAGTGCCAGTGCAGAGCAGAGGCAGAGCCACAGGAGGCCCCAGGCCATTTCTGGAGGTGCCTAACAGTTCACCAGGCCTTGATTCCTGCCCAGAGTGCTCCTCAGCAGCATACTGCAGTGGCAGGGAATGGCGATGAAGTCCACAGCACCCAAAGCAGAACAGGACCAAAGGGAGAGGGCCACACCCATGACAGAGGCAGGAGGGGAAGGAGTAAGGATGAGGAAATGGCTTCCAGAGCAGGAGGTGTTTCTCAGACCTGCCTGGCCCAGGCAGAGAGGGGCAGTGCCCCAGGGGACTCCTGTGACTGAGGAGGGTATGACGACCTATGACCTATGTCAACTTAAGACTGGGAAATGGGGACCCCCTTGCACAAAATCAGAAGGTATCCAATGATTTAGGAATCTAAGATTCCCGGCCAGGACAGGGTGAGTGGGAACATTCCAGTCCTCACTGGGTGAGTGGCTTTACTCACTGTGGTTGGAGGCTGAGGGGTTGTACTGTGTGAGATGGAGCTGGTCACTTGCCCTAAATAAACGTCAGACACTGACTGCTATTCCTGAGCAGAGCATCTGGGTTGGGAAGGGGCTCGTGGATGCTCGTGGTCACTGCCTTCCTTCTCAGGGCTCACTTCCATCTAAACACAACCCCATCTAGTCCTTGACTCCTGTCCTGTTTGCTAGATTCAGGTGCGTTTCTTCTTGGCTGCTTCCACCCTATAGTCTTCCCCATTTAGTTTTTCCAGGGGTGGTTCTTTATATTTTTTTGGTTACTTTATTTGCTCTCTAAACTGCTTTCCTTGAGGCTGGCTTCCTGTCCTGTCCCTCCTGCAGCACCGGTCAGCAGAGCATAGGAGTCGCCTGCTCCTGCTGCTGCTTTTCTTGCCTCATCTGTTTCCTTCTGTGACTGGGGATGGAGCAGCAGAACAGGCGAGGACGAAAGAGACAGCAGGGCTCAGTGACCATGAAGACCCAGTGGAAAAGACACCTGCAGGAATTCCCACAGAGAAGCAGGGGAGACCCAGGCCCTGAGAGAGAGTTGAAGGAGTCCTTTCTCTCTCCCAGCTTGGCAGTTAGCCTTGGAGGACGTGGGGGACAGGAGGAAAGGCTGTCCTACCTGCGGGTCTTGCTGCAGTACAGAAAGTAGGCCAGGATGCAGAGCAGGATCACGGCAACGAAGGCTCCAATCACGATGCCGGCAATGGCCCCAGGCAGGAGGTGAGTATTTTCTGTATCCATAGCTGGGCAAAAAGAGACGAAGGTGAAATCTGAAAGTATTTGACTGTGAGCATGCCCTGAGGAACAGCTTGTCCTTCAGGGAATAATCTTCTGGGAGGATGACTGAGACTACTGAGTCCTTGTCACTTTCCCTCTTAGTGGTCATGAGGCCTCCCTTAATTCTGTCTTTCTGAATGTAGATGTTTCTGAAGGCTTAGGGAATGTGAAAAAGGCTGGTGGCTGCTTTTGCCTGTTCTAGATTCCTGCCTTTTCATGGTTGCATCCCTCTTCGTGTCCAGCCATAGGTATGTAGCTCTCAGGTCTGTGTGTCAAGGACTTAACCCACGTAAGACCCTGGCTGTTGTTTCTGAATTCACAACCTTCTGTGCAGGGACCACACTTCCCATGTGCTCCCAGTGTAAGGATAAAAGCCAGCCCAATGGAGACAGACACAGATTTCCTCTGGTGGTGACTGGCTTTGGGACTCCCTGTCAACTTCCATTTTAAACTGTACCGTATTCTATGCTTCTTCTGTTTCTGCTTCAGAGGAATTGGATCTGCGTTCTGGTGTCATTGTTTTCCCAGGCTCCTCCCACTCCCAACCCATTTCTGCACACAGACATCTTCCCTAATTCATATTTTTCATATCTAATTCCATTTTGGATGCACCTTAGGAAAAAAAAACCTTGGAATGGCAAAAATCTTACCCAAATACATATGGCTAGTAAGAGGTGGGTCTAGAACCCACCTTTCTCCTAGGTTAGTGATTGTACTATTAATAATAGAAGCTATAGAATGGAACATTTTCTATCATTTTGCTGAAGGGTTATCATATTAAATTTTAAAGCAATATAATGAAGTAGATAGTCTTACTTCAGTTTTCAATTGAAGAATCTGAGGTTATCAGATTTTTTTTAAAAGATTTATTTATTTTTTATTGGAAAGGTGGATATACAGAGAGGAGAGACAGAGAGGAAGATCCGTCCGATGATTCACTCGCCAAGTGAGCGCAACGGCCAATGCTATGCTGGTCTGAAGCCAGGAGCCTCTTCCGGGTCTCCCACACGGGTGCAGGGTCCCAAAGCTTTGGGCCATCATCAACTGCTTTCCCAGGCCCCAAGCAGGGAACTGGATGGGAAGTGGGGCTGCCGGGATTAGAACCGGCGCCCATATGGGATTCCGGTGCATGCAAGGCGAGGATCTTCAACCACTGCACCATCGTGCTGGGCCCGAGGTTACCAGATCTTAAGAATTTTAGGGGGATCAGCACTATGATTTAGTAAGTTAGGCCTCAGCCTATTGTGCTGGCATCCAGTTTGGGCACCGGCTTGAGTCCCTTCTGCTTAACTTCAGATCCAACTTCCTGCTAATGGCAAGGGAAGGCAGTGAGAATTGCTTGAGTGTGGGTATAGGTTTTCCCTGTACCCACATGGGAAACCTGGAAGAAGCTATAGGCTGCTGACTTAGGACTGGCCCAGCTCTAGGTGTTGCAGCCATTTGGGGAGCAGACCAGCAGATGGAGGAGCTCTCTTTCTATTTCTGTTTGTCTTGCTCTGTAAATCTGCCTTTCAAAGAAAAATAAGAAAATATTTAAGGAAACAAATCTTCCTAGTCATAGGATTAGGGGTTAATTAAAAAAGAGAGAAAGAATTCTGGGTCTAGCATGATGGCCTAGTGGCTAAATCTTCCCCTTGCATACCCGGGATCTCATGTTAGCACCCGTTCATGTCCTGGCTGCTCTACTTTCCCTTTAGATTTCTGCTTGTGGCCTGGGAAAGCAGTTGAGGATGGCTCAAAGCCTTGGGACCCTGCTTCCATGTGGGACATCCAAAAGAAACTTCTGGCTCCTTGCTTTGGATCAACACAGATTTGGCTATTGTAGTCACTTGGAGAGTGAATCAGTAGATGGAAGATCTTCCACTCTGTCCCCTCTCTCTGAATGTCTGACTTTACAATAAAAATAAATAAATCTTTAAAAAAAGACTAAATTGTAAATTTCATATAGAGTTTAGCACAAGCTTCCCTTCCTCACTAAAATGAAAGAAGGAAGAAAAAAAGAAAAAAAGAGAAAGCAATCTTGTGTAAGGTCTTACAGGAAATGCCAATCCAGGACTAAGAAATGAAGTGTATTTGATTCAGAGCAGGCCTCTTAACTATAAGGTTCTTTGAATACATTTTCTGTCCCCGGGACTTTTACCCATTTTATACACCATTGTTAGAGTCATCTTCCCAGTGGGATTGCCAGAGGGGTTGAGGGGTCACATACCTCTCACTGCTATCCTGACAGGGTCACTCTTGCTGGAACAGCCCATAATGACCTCACACTGGTACTCCCCTTCATCCTCCATCATGACTGGGTCTATTGTGAGGGTGCTGTTGTCCAAGGACAGCCGTGTCCTCTCTGTGAGCTGCAGACTCTGGCTATTAAAGATCCAGTGGGTGGATATTACAGGCTCAGCTGTGAGGCAGGTCAGGACCAGAATGTCCTTTTCTGTGACTGTGGTGTTGTTGACCTGAATGGATGGCTGTGCTACTGTCTCTGTGGGATAACAAAGGAAGGGGCTGGGTGAGGGTGGGCCTGGGATCTGGACCTCCTTCCTCTCAGAGATCTCAGCCGACTCTCAGAATGCAGAGTGAGCGTGTGGATGTGACCCAGAGGACAGCCCTGACCCTCTGTAGAGGCCACGTGTCTGTTCAGCTGGTCTGTAAGGGGAGAATTGTCCCTGCCTCTGACCTCAAAGCTCCCAGAGTGACCTGACCAGCTCCCCGGATAGCCCTGTAGTGTCTGTGCTGGAAATTTCTCAGCCTATGGCATCAGCAGTTTCATGGTCAAGCAGAATGATTCTCCAGGAACTTTTGCAAAACCTTCCAATGACTCTTAAGAGATCAAGTTAGGGGTTGGCATTACGCCATAACAGATGAAGCTGCCCATGATGCCAGCATCCCCTATGGGAACTGATTTGAGACCCAGCTGCTCTGCTTCCACCCTGGTCCCTGCTAATGCACCTGGGAAAGCAGCAGCAGACGAGCTCTCCTGTGGGAGACCTGAGTGGAGTTCTAGGCTCCTGACTTCAGCCCGGCCCAGCCCTGGTTGATGCAGCCATTTGGAGAGGGAATCAGAAATGATATATCTGAATCAGTAGAGAGATAATTCTCTCTCTGTTCTCTCTCTCTCTTTCCATGCATTCATTTTTTTAAAAGATTTATTTTTATTGGAAAGGCGGATATACAGAGAGGAGAGACAGAGAGGAAGATCTTCCATCTGATGATTCACTCCCCAAGTGAGCGCAATGGGCCGATACTATGCCGATCCAAAGCCAGGAGCCTCTTCCGGGTCTCCCACGTGGGTGCAGGGTCCCAAAGCTTTGGGCTGTCCTCGACTACCTTCCCAGGCCACAGGCAGGGAACTGGAAGGGAAGTGGGGCTGCCGGGATTAGAACTGGCGCCCATATGGGATCCTGGGCGTGCAAGGCGAGGACCTTAACCACTGTGCCACCGCGCCAGATCCTCTCCATGCATTCATACATATGTGCCTTCCTATCAGTCTGTTTTTCAAAGAAATATATATTTTTTTTACAGATGATTGTGGCTGTTCCTGGTAAAGTGGCTTTACATGCAGAGAGAGGATGTTTCCTTTTTCTTCAATGAGTTATTAGGAATGAAGATTACTTGTCCAATCTTGACAACATCAGGATCTATAAGGGTTATTTTAAACAAATTTGTTTTATTTATTTGAAATGTAGATTAAGGGCCCGGCGGCGTGGTCTAGTGGCTAAAGTCCTCGCCTTGAACGTGTTGGGATCCCAAATGGGTGCCAGTTCTAATCCTGGCAGCTCCACTTCCCATCCAGCTCCCTGCTTGTGGCTGAGGAAAACAGTCAAGGATGGCCCAAAGGCTTGGGACCCTGTACCCATGTGGGAGACCTGGAAGAAGTTCCTGGCTCCTGGCTCCGGATCGGCACAGCTCTGGCTGTTGTGGTCACGTGGGGAGTGAATCATCAGACGGAAGATCTTCCTCTCTATCTCTCCTCCTCTCTGTATATCTGACTTTGTAATAAAAATAAAGAAATATTTTTTTTAAAGAGAAATGTAGATTAACAGAGGGAGAGAAAGATCTCCTATCCACTGGTTCATTGTCCAAAGGGCCATAATGGCCAAAGCTGAGCCAGTCTGAAGTCAAGAACCAGGAGCTTCCTCAGGGTCTCCCCTGTGGGTATAAGAATGCAAGGACCTGGGACATCCTCTGTTACTATCCCAGGCACAATATCAGGGAGCTGGATCTTAAGTGGAACAGCTAGGACTCGAACTGGCATCCATATAGGATGTTGATACTATAGTTGGCAGCTTTACTTGTCTCACCATAGCTCTGGCCCCTTGAAGGGTTCTAATCTAAAGGATTTTCCAACCTAAGAGAGCTTTTACTTCCTAACGTTAGAGTTCCAGGAGGCAGGAAGTCCTCAGAGAGAAGACAGCATCCTCATCCTCTTCATGAATTGCAGTTTCTGGCACTGCTGCTTCCACCACAGGGAGACTCCACAATGAGCTTCCCCAAGTGAGCATCACTCACTCCCCTGTGCTGCATCCCATGTGCTGGGACCCAAAGCAGGGATGCTGTGACCACAGAACCAGAATACAGTGCAGAAAAATAAAACAAGAGAAAAAAGAATACAGTGCAGATGTGTCTGCCCCAACACTCTCTCTTCCTGACCCGGTGGGTGCTCCAGCCTATCTCAGCCCCTTCTTCACCCTTCCCAGTGCCACCGCAGATGGAGTCAGAGCCCTGCCAGTCTCCAGGTGAGCAGGGCAGAGCAGGGAGCAGAGCTCTGAGCAGCTCAACCCCATCTTGGTGAGAGCATTTCAAAGCCTCCTACGTTCCCTGTAGCTCATGCTGCAGGTGAAACAAAACCAAGAGGTGATGGGAAGAGATGAGTTGGTGGCAGAAAGAAGTAACTCACTGAGGACCCTTCTGCACTCCTCTGTGAAGTCCCTCTCATTAATTTGGTCTCTCCAGGGCTGAGGGAACCCCTCCCCCACCCTTCTTCATTCCAGCCAGGAGAAGTTAGGGAAACCAGGGGAGATGAGAGACTCAGAGGTGGAGTTGGGAGGGGAGGGTTCAGAGGAAGTCTGGAGTGCCTGTGGACACAAACTGGGAAATTACTTCTAGGCTATTCTCTTCAAATCCTACATAGATCATGCTAACCATACCCCCTGCCTCCACTGCCCATCCCCAGGCTTAGCACAGACCTTGCAGGGCCCACTTACCATGGACTGTGATGTTCTTAACAGTGATGTTACTGACGTCAGTGATGGAGTTATAGGCCTTGCAGGTGTAAGACCCGCTATCACTCAAAGAGATGTTGAGGATGTGGAGTTGTTGAGTGGATTCCCAGATCTGCCCATTGATGAGCCAAGTATACTGTGCAGGTGGGTAAGAGTCTGTGTCACACAAGAAGCTGAGGTTGGTTCCTGAACAGTAGTTCTCCTCTGGAGGGGAAATGGTGGGGGTGTCCGGGCCATCTGGAGTGAACAGAATAGAGCCACAGAGAGTGTCATCAGAAGGGAGGGGATGCTCCTGATCTGAAGAAGTCCCCATTATCCCTCAGAGCTGTGTCCCAACCACACCCCTATGCCTGTGTTTGGGACAATCACCCGTTTCTCCATCATAGGTGTATGACCAGAGCCTCTCCAGGCAGGAATAGCCCCCTCTCCATTTTCAGCTCAAGGCCAAACCTGTCCATATTTGCCTGAGACAGGAAGTCACTGCCAGGGATGAGAGTCCTTATTCTTGGACGTGGGATGGACCCAAGTGGCCTGGCCTCTGGCTATGCGGGTTTCAGCCAGCAGCCCAGGCATGGAGGAGGAGACATTACTTACAAGAAATGTTCAGGGTGAGTGAGTTCTTGAAGATGACAGTCATTGAGTTGCTGATTTCACACTCATAGATTCCCACGTCTTCCCTGGTGACATTGAGTAGAGTGAGAATCCTGTTGTTCGAGGACAGCTGCAGCCTGTCAGGGATCTCCTGGAGTTCCTTGCCATCTTTGTACCACTGGTAGGTCATGCCCGGAATGTCAGGTTCACAGGTTAACACTACAGATTCCTTGCCCTCGATGGGCTGGGTATCGTTGCTGCTAAGTTGGGTGTCTGTACAGGAACAAAGAAGATCACCCTGTGTGGGTTCTTTGGTTCCTCTGAAAGCCTCCTTCTATCAAAGTTGGCATCTCTTTTCATCCATCCAACCTGAGTCCTAAAAGAACCAGGCAGGTGTGTGTGTGTGTGTGTGTGTGTGTGTGTGTGTGTGTGTGTGTGAAAGAGAGAGAGAGAGAGCTGCATGACAACCTGGGTGGTCGGGGAAAGTGACACCCATGTGCTCCCCCTGCCTGGAAGGCGCACAGACTTTGTCAGGTATGAACTAATATTTTTTTTAAAAAAATCTTTTTTTAAAAAAGGCTAAAAAAAAAAAAAAAGTCCAAGGAATTATCAAGAATGAATGAGGGCCCGGCGCGGTGGCACAAGTGGTTAAGGTCCTCGCCTTGCATGCCCAGGATCCCATATGGGCACAGGTTCTATCCCGGCAGCCCCGCTTCCCTTCCAGCTCCCTGCCTGTGGCCTGGGAAAGCAGTCGAGGACGGCCCAAAGCTTTGGGACCCTGCACCCACGTGGGAGACCCGGAAGAGGCTCCTGGCTTCGGATCAGCATAGCATCGACCGTTGCGCTCACTTGGGGAGTGAATCATCAGATGGAAGATCTTCCTCTCTGTCTCTCCTCTCTGTATATCTGCCTTTCCAATAAAAAATAATAAAAATAAATCTTTTAAAAAAAAAGAATGAATGAGGGGGACAGGCAAAAGCTGTCCTTCACCAGGGAGAACAGGGCTGTCACTTTAGACAGAACTGGGCAAGCCTTAGGTTTCCCAGCCGTGGTTTATGAGGTCTAGTTTCAGTAAATGTAGTTCCTTTTACCTCAGTTTTCCCTTAATGGGATAAAAATCAAATGGCATTTGGCTTGTCATTTTCTGTAAATTAACCTTAAAATATTTACAGGGCCTGGGCCTGGCATAATAGCCTAGCAGCTAAAGTTCTTGCTTCACACCTGCCAGGATTCTATATGAGCGCTGGTTCTAATCCTGCTGTTCCTGCTTCTCTTCCAGCTCCTTGCTTGTGGCCTTAGAAAAGCAGTTGAGAATGGCCTAAAGCTTTGGGACCCTGCACCTGCTTGGGAGACCCAGAAGAGGCTCTGGACCCCTGTCTTTGTATTGGCTCAGCTCTGGCCATTGCGGCCACTTGGGGAGTAAATCAACAGATGGAAGATCTTCATCTCTGTCTTTCTTCCTCTCTGTATATCTGGCTGTGCAATAAAAATAAATCTTTAAAAAATATTTACAGGGTCTGGTCTACAGCTTGGCATAGAGGAACTGCCCAAATACATGACATCTATTAATATTTTCCTCTTAGATTCCCTAAGCCTAATGCCTGATGACTTTCCTGCTGAGTCTCCTAAGCCCCAAAGCAGTCAGCTATTGGACGGGAAACTGCCCCTCTGTGTCTCCCTCTTGAGTCTCAGGGGAAGGACCCAACTCCGCTCTGGCCCACAGAAGGCTCTTTGAGGGCTGATCCTTGCTGGTGACCAGAGAACCACAGAGCTTGGGAATCTGACAAAGCCTTGCTCATCAGCCCTGCCCAGGAGGCCAAAACCCAGGCCTGGGCCAGGATCCCCAGATCACCTGAGATCAGGAACCCGGGGTAGGGACTTCTAGAGAGTCGAACTTCCCTGTGAGGATCCCGTGGGTTCTTTGGGCCAGGCCCTGATCAAGTCCTGTGAGGTATTTCTCATGGTCAGGGTTTAGGGGGTTGTTGGACTGGGCCTGATGTCCTTCTGCTGAGTTCCCCCATCACTGTTCCCTCTCAGCAAAATATCACAGGGTCTGGCTTCTGGAAAGAATTCCAGTCTTCAGAAGTTTGTCTTCCCTGGGTGTGTTCTGTACTAAATGCTCAAAACCCAGCACAAGACAAGAGGCAGAGGGGCAAGACAGGAACCTCACAGGTCTCATAACCCTATGTGTGTGAAATAGATGGAATGCTCCCTGCCCAGACACCCGGAGGACACAGAGGGGACACTTACAGTATACGTGGAGCTGTACAGTTACATATATAGGAACAAAAGAATCATCGATGACTCCTATGGTGTAGTTTCCTGTGTCGTCCTGGATGACGTTCTGGATCAGCAGGGATCCATTGGGGAATATTGTGTATCTATCTGTGTATTTAGGCCCTTTATTAACACTGCTGCCCTGGACTGTGTATGTTACAATACGAAGACTTGCATCAGGTGTTTCCCCCTTATACCAGGCGTAGTATTCAGCATTCTGTGGTGGACTGTGGAGGAGGAGAAGCACATCCATCCCTTCAGCAGCGATGGGCGGTACAGGTTCCACTATGTATTCGGCCATGGTGGACGGGATCCAGACAGTCAGAAGTGAGACTACGAAGGAAGGGAGAGAAATCAGTCAAAATGGAGACCTGTATGTTGGGAGGAAATGTGGTGTCCTGGCTCCTAGGCAGATCTCTTTACCCCTCAGCCTTGTGTGTGTAAGATATTTGCATATTTATATGAGTGTGTATTTGTGTCTGCTGTGTCTCCTACTAGGTCAAGACCTAGCAACATGATCTCCATTCCTTCAATGTCTCTGAACTTCTGTTTGTTTGGAGCACTCCTGCCCAGGGGTCTGTTCCTGGATCCTGCTCACAGCCAGGGAGCCTGGGAGCCCCCTTCCTGACCAGCTCTCAGAGATACTGAGTCATCACTTCTGACCTCTCCCTGCTCTGACCTTGCCTGGATTTCTGCTCATCTGTCTCCTCCCCCAATGGAGTGGCAGCTCCATGAGGACGGGGATGTGTCTAGTATGAGCTGCAGCCCCTGTGCCTGGACAAACTGTATTTACCTAGGTGTGAAGTGGTGAATGTTCCCTGGTCCTGTACACCTGGGTGTGTGAATGTTAACTTCTGGGTTAGTGGCTGAGGGTGGAGTTTAGGCCTCAGCTGTGCTTTTATTTAGAGCATCACCCTGAAACTGTTACTGTTGTCATTTTTAAAAATGTATTGAGCTATGGTAATTAACAAGGAGAACAGCTCAGCGGAGGCTCTCCTGGCCCTTCCCAGTAGCCCCTCACTGAGCATTTCCTATTGCTGAGGTTCCCCCTCCTCTATTCAGCTCCAGAGGCAAGCCCTGTGTCCCCTCTTAGAGCCCTTCCCTTCCCCAGAGACCCCAGCTGGTCTCTGTGTCCCCAGCCACCCACCCCTGCACACCCCCTCACCTGCCAGCAGGAGCCCCTGCCAGGGGACATGGCCTCTGTGTGGAGAAGCTGAGGGGCTCTCCATGGCGTCTGCTGTCTGCTCTGACCTCCCTCTTGGAGAGACACTCCCGGCTCCAGCTGCTCCCAGCTCTGCTGTCCTGCCTGCCTCTGCACTGAGCCTCCTTCCAGAACAGGAGCATTTGACAGGGTCACATGGGCTGGGGGCGGGCCCTCTGCCCAGGAGGCCTCCCTGTGCCCTTCCCTCTCAGTCCTGCCTCCTTGACCCTTCTCCTTTAACTCTAAGTTTGGGTTTCCCAGATCACGCTTTGACAAGCAGGGCTGTCCTGTGACAGACAAGCTGCCCACCTTGGCACAGGCTTCTGCTGTGTCCAGGCCTTGGGTCTGCTCTCTCAGCACTACACGGAGAGCCCCTGGGGTCCCCGAACTTACTGAATTAGTTCCCTTTGTGACGTAGAAATCTGACTGTGCATAGGGTCATCCCCATGTTCTCGAATGCTCTGGGAGGGTGGGATTTAGTCTAGCAGGAGGCAGAGCTGGCTGAGTGATGAGAGAGACCTCTCTATCTCAGTGCCCTCAGCTGACGTCTGACCAGGGAGCAGGTGTCTCAGGAGGAGCTGCAGCCCTGGGTGTGCAGGGCAAGTGTCCTGCCTGTCCTAGGAAGAGACAATTAAGGTGGAGGGGCTAATAGATGTAGTGTCCTGTTGTCTTGTGTGTGTTCTAGAAGCTCCTCCCTCCCCGTGTGTGTTGGCTGAGCTGTGGCTCAGGACTGTCCATGTCCTCCCTGGCTGTCCTGGGTGACCTCTGTCCTCTGACCAGATGATTCTCCTGGGGTCATCCTTTCTTGTAACTGGTGCCTAGAGGGAGTGGGGGCTGCCCAGAGACCCCTTACACAGTGGGTCTTCAGAAGCCAAGGAAGAAGTGAGATACAGTGGGCACACAGGAGAGACCCTGAGCGTGTGTTGGAGCAACGGATGGAGGTCAGGCTCCATGTCCACCCTCTGAGTCAAAGCCAGGCTTGGGAGCAGTTATTTTAAATTCCAGTGCTGTGTGTCCTGATGGTGCCCCTTGCTGGGCATGAGGAGACCTGCAGACAATGTCAGGGGCTACACCAGAGATGCTGACCAGGCTCCAAGTGGGATAAGCTGGCCCTGACCCCTGGGCAGAGGTGGGGTGTGACCTACAGGAGGCAGAATCAGGCCATCTGGGTCCTGTTCTGTGTGTGTCCCCAAGGGTCCCAACTCAGACCCACTCAGTGAATCCAGGGAGAGGACAGAGTTGTGCAGCCTCAGGAGGACTTAGCTGTCCCTAAGTTTTCAAAGGAAGGTTGAGTTGTTTCTTGGTGCTTAAGGGAGAAGACCCCACTCCTGGAGCTGGTCCTAGAATGCTCTGTGTTTCCTCCTCCACAGCAATACTGGTGTGGTTCAAGGTCACCTGAGTCTGTCTTACCTGCTTCATATCTCCCCTCAGAGCTCAGGAACCAGAACTCCCACCTGGGCACTGAGCCAGGGCACCATGGGTTCCTCTGGTAGGAGAGGAGGCTCGGGGACCCTCAGACCTGTGAGATGGATGCTAAGGCAGGTCTTGGGTTATCCTGTCCTGTGCTGCACGGGAAGTGGCCCTTGTTCTCCAGGAGTCTTTGGGCTGCTGGGTTTCTGTAGGGGAGCGTAGCCAGGTGCTTGTACAGCGCTGGGCTTGCCAGGGCTGAGGAGTTTCTCCCTTTCTTCTTCTGTGACCATGTGGGTTCAGGCCTCACCACCGTGGGAACTCCATCCGGGATGGCAGGCCCTCTGCGGGAATGTGGTGTCACAGCTCGGAGATGGGGAGTGGGAATCGGCATTGTCAGTATGCCCCGGCCATTTCCGCCAGGCTGTGAGAGGGTACCTGTGCCTGGACAGCTGCAGGTCCTTGAGGGGTCCCCCTGGGCTGAGGCCAGTGGCCCTGTGCCCCCAGAGAACATTCTCTGACCTCAGGGGTCACACTGAGGTGATGTGCTTCTGCTGTGGGTTCCACATCCATTTTACAAGCATTATGGAAGATTTGTTAAGTGTCAGATCTTGGCCTGGGACCTGGGAGTCCCATGGAGAGGACAGATGTGATCTCCCGGGAGACAGGCACTAGGTGGACATCATGGGAGCCACAGCTAAAGGTAAAGAGGAGGACCAGTACCTGGACATCTGCAGCTGCATTGAGCTGAGCTGCACTGGGTGTGGGAGGGACCCACTGAAGGGCCTTTATGGTGAGAGCTGAAGCGGCCTGGATGTTCCGTGGGGAGGTGGAAGGTGTGTGGTCAGGGGCTGCCTGCAGAGGGATGGCTGGGAGGAGGGTTGACGGATCCGTGTGGGGCCGCTCCCGAGAGTGGGCTGTGAGCTGTGAACTGTGAACTGTGGACTGTGGACTGGGGGCTGTGGACTGGGGGCTGTGGACTGGGGGCTGTGAGCTGTGGGCTGCTGGCCCCGCCCGGCTCCAGGCTGGGGCATCGCCGCCCTCTAGTGGCCGACGAGGAAAGTGTGGAGGGCACCACATTGGGCTGCTTGTTTTAATCAGTGTCATTCTGGACACATTCCCTGTGGGTCACCTGTCGTGGTGATCTCACACCATGTGGATTCAAGTCCCTGTTTCTCCAGGAATATTATCCCCCTCTCTCCACAGTGAAATGTCCTCAGCCCAAATAGTTGTGACCATCTGTGAGCTTGTCTGAGCAGGTTACACCTTGTGTCCATGGTGGCTGTGATGTGTGATGCCGGGTCCTTGTCGAGGGCAGGTCAGGAAACTGAGTGTCAGGAGAAGGTCAGTGTGCGGCAGCAGGAAGACAAGGGGGCACGTCCCACAGTGGGGGGACCTGTGATCGGTAGGCACCTGACTCAGTGTCATCGACCAGCTCCCCCAGCCATGTTCCTCTCTGTAGCTGGTTCTCTTGTGTTACTCCCAAGCCCGTGTAAGGTCCTCATTACCGTGCCCAGACGGTCAGAGCTGTGTGTGGAGACACAATGGAGGATCCCAAGAGAGCCCACAGACAAGGAACAGGCGTCATGATCTCCTCTTTCCCAAGCCCACGGCAAGGTCGGGACAGTGGGCCAGAAAGTGAAAACCCCGAAAAGGTCTGTGTCCTGGGAGTCCCATGGCCTGTGCCTCCAGCTCAACCCTCTGTGCCAACACATGGAAATTGCACATGTGTGTGGCCTGGTCAACCTCATGTCTCCCTGTGTCCCCAAACCCTTGGGTCCCTGCCATGAAGAGCCCACGTGTGTGTGTGGGTGTGTGTGGTTTATATGCTGGTTTTCTTTTGATGTGACTTTTAAAAACTGTGGCAACATACATACGACATAACATGTGTCCTTTAAGCCATGTTAAATTGGAGAGCTAAATGCCATCAGTTACACTGATAATGCTAAACAAGCGAGACCACTAATTCTTTTCCTGAAACCTTTCCTCACCTGTAATAGGAACTGTCCACTTGGCAGTAAGGACCCATGTGTGTGCCCCCCTCAGGTAACTTCCTCCACTTCCCCCTGTGAGTTTGTTATTGATATTTCACACAGGCGGGCTAATACAGCACTTTATTTCTGGTTTATTCCACTTAGCACAATGTTTCCAAGGTCCCTCTGTATTGTATCATATATAGGAATTTTATTCTTTAATGATTCATCTATTTTTTATTTGAAAGGCAGAGTTATGGAAAGAAGGAGATACAGAGAGAGATCTTGCAGCCACTGATTCACTCCCCAGATGTCTGCAATGGCCAGAGCCCAAAGCTGGGAGCCAGGAGCTCCTTCCAGATCTCTCACGCGGGCAGCAAGGGGCCCAAGCCCTTGGGCCGTGCTCTGCTGCTTTCCCAGACACAGTGGCAGGGAGCTGGGCTGAAAGTGGAGCAGCCAGGACTCGGACTGGCATATGAGCACTGGCTGGTGCTAAAGGCAGAGGCTTAGCCTACTGCACCATGGCACCGGCTTAGCCCTCCTCCTTTCTTTTCTCTCTCTCTCCCCACTCTTGGTTTTAATTCTGCCTTCCAAATAAAATACATAAAAATGTTTAACAGTATGTGGTTATGGATATCAGTGTAGACCAGTGACTCTCAATGTCTGGAGACCTTCCTGGTTGTCACACCCCAGGGAAGCGAGTCCCACTGGTGCTTTCTGGGTGAGTCCCCGGGTGCCGCACACCGTGCTGTCAGCGCTGAGGGTGGTGCCGAGGAGCCTGAGAGCCTGAGAGCCCACCGGGAGCCATTCCATTTCCGCTGGAGCTTCCCCCGCCCCACTCCGCTCTCCCCCGTCCCTCCCTGCCATCCCGCTGCGTCAGTCCCTCCTGTGGCACCTGGGGTCGCGCCATCATCTCACTGCGCTCATCTCGCCACTGCCTGGCCACATTCTCTGGGCCGCTGACGGAGGCGTCCACTGGAGGGCGCTCGCGTCCTTCCCGAAGCGCCTGGCACTGCGGTCCACCGGCCCTGCCCTCAGACCCGCTCCTAGGAGGGGACCAGGGACTACGGAGGAACTCCACGTGGAGGATGCTGGATCATGGACTAGGGATCTGGGAACAGTCCCAGAGCTCAGACGGGTGGACGGGGCATAGTTCCGGGCTCAGTGACCGGACACACCAGGCCTGACACAGGCATTGCCCTTGGAAAAATGACCATGAACCTGTGGCTTCTTTGCTTGGCAGGGCTGCTGTGGGACATCCCAGACTGACCTTACTTATGGGTGACGGGTCATCTTGGGTATTCATGCAACACCCTCCACTGGAAGAATCAGTGGGGACATGACCGCCACTGGACACAGGGTCCAGGAGGGCTGTCACTGTTGCTAGGATGTTGGGAGTGCACGGTCCCCCCCAACAGCTCCTCAGCAGGGCCCCAAATGCTCTCACTTTGGCCTTTAATGTTTAACAGTGCCTGCTCCCCATTCTTCTACATCGAGTCTAGATTTGGTCACTTTTTTATTTTTAAAATTATTGGACATTTATAAACTCCTTGTATGGAAATGATTCCTTGGTGTTCCCACAGCCCCTTTAATGTAGTTCCTTATGGCACAAATCAAGCATGTCTCCATGGCTCCCCCACTCTGGCCC